AGGTATTTATTTAGCATAAAATTTAGTTTATGGTATGAAATACTCTAGAAACCAAATCCACATTCATGGCCCCTTTGTGTTAGATGCAGTATAAATAGAGTTAATGAGATTCCTACCCCAAATATTCTGTGATGTTGGAAGGCAAAAAAGCACAGCAGAGGTTGGTGAACACATCCAGCTTTCTATATTTGTCTTTATATATCTTTGTATTATATTTTTCCAATTAAGTGGGATGAATCGAGCATTTTCTGACTTGCAGATGGCCACAGATGTGGGTTTCAAAGCAGAGGTTGTAAGTGACTTATACACTTACGGGCCTGGATGGTGCTGCAGTCTAAAGCCTGGGGTGAATTACCGTGTTCTCAGGGCTCTCTTTTTATATAAACTCACAGTTTCTCTTTTACTGAGTTGCACCCCTGGATTCAGCAGCAGCGGCTTTAACCAAATATTTCCATTCAGCCCATTCAGGATTGGGCCTGGAAGCCACACAAGGAGAAAGCTAATTTGGATTGGGGATCACAGGGGCTGACCAGAGGACTAGAGTGGGGCAGAGCAAGGGAGTAACAGAATGAAGTGGGAGGAAAAAGAAAGGAGAAATACATTGAAAATGTAAAGAGACCAGAGTCATGGAACAAGGGACATTTGAGCAGAAGCTTGGATATGTGGAGAGATGGGAATACCTATGGGGTAAATTTGTGTTGCTACAGAGTGCAGCTAAGACTGCTGAGCAAGGTGATCCAGACTTGGAGAAACTGATGGCTGAAGGTCTGAGAAATAATGACATGAAGAAAGGGTAGGACAAAGGGATGGATGGAGGTGAGAGGATGGAACTTGCAAAATGTCCCATCCCTTCATTTTCATCCTGCCAGGGAGGATGGCAACCTGCCACTGCTGTCAGTGAGATATTAGCAGAGCTATGACTGGAGAATATGAGAGTCCGGACCCACTGAGGTCCTGTGGAGCTGTCAATATAATGCAATCTGATGAGACACTGGAGGGGGACAGGATTTATTTGTCTTAAATTTTTTATTTGGTTTAATTCAATACAGCAATGTATGTTCACAGACTACGCAAGTGTTTTGTATTGTTTGATACATAATACTTTCTAATTTTCTCTGATTTTACATTGGTCCAGGCAGCTTTCCCAGTAACGTATTCTTGGCTCATATTTGTGGTGTGACATTTTTGATAAGTATTGTCTGGGTTAATCCACTGTGGAATAATCTTTTGGATTATCCACTGGAGCCCTGGTCTTCCAGCACAAACACAAACAAGCTCTAGTTAATGCTGTTTCCCTTTAGGAAGGTGATCGCTATATTCTCAGGTGAAGCAATTACATGAAGGAACCTGATTCTGTGTTTGGTTTTTTTTAAAGACAAAATGAAGTGCTCTAGACAAAATAATATCCACTCCTGACTGAGAGTGTTTATGTGCATAAAGGTGCTGCTCTGCATTTCTACAAAGACAGAATGAGGTGCAAACAAACTCATTCTGCCTCATTTGGAACATATTCAGGTACTGTAGGTTTGGAAGCCTGACTCAGTGTGAGGTTTTTGTAAACTTCTGAATAAAAACCATGGATGTGTGCCTGCATGTTTACATGTGAAAGCAAATATATATGATGTGTACATATAATGTATATATCAGTAAACTTTTTGTGGCAGGGTTGCCTTAGAAGGAATGGTTTTATTGCAGTACTTGCAACACGCTTCTATTTAGATGTAACAACATAGTTGTTATTTTAGTTATGTCAGAAAAACCTGTGAATTTACACTAGTTTGGTGAAGTTTTATCCCATCCTTCAGTAAACAATTCTACCTCTGCCTCCTGTGATGACTGTTTCACTTTCAAGAGTCAGGATTTGCCCAGTTAATGAACAATATCTGTAATTTGTAGGCATCTCCTTGCTTTATGTTTCATTTTAACATAATGTTGTGCCAACTATTTTCATTGAAACCTCATGAGGGTAAAAGCTCTGGTCCTGAGAAGTATCCAGAAGCAAGACTGTCTGGCCAATGTGTAGGGAAATAATTTGCAAAACTGAGTGAAAAAACAGGTTTTAGTCAGCAGTCTGGATGGTGTTTTGTGAGAAGAAAGGAAGGAAAGGAGAGTATGATCCCAAATGACTTGTCCACAGCTGACAGACAGGTTCATCTCTTTTTTTTTTTTTTTTTACTGAGATTTATTTTCTAAATTTATTATTGGAACAACATTTTGTGTAAACATTTATGTGTGAATATACTTGTAGATCTTTGTGTTCTGCTCTGGGCTTCTTTAGTAACTGCTACCTACAGAGAGTATGAGAATTTTTATGCAGTGGAAAATAAACTGGTGTTGTGACAGGTTTTGTGTTGTCTTGAGATGGTTGAGGACACAACAATGACCTGGCTAAAATTGGGAGAACAAGAAGGTTATGCAGGCAGGAGAGTGTATCCAGTATAAGACAGCACTAACAGGCAGGGCTACCAAAGCTCCAGCACCATCCCCAGAAATGTGATCTGGTCCCTGTGTAGCTGAGCATCAGGTTCATAGTTGTTAGACTGCAAGAAGTCTGAGATTTCTGTCATGGGAATAATGCTATCTAGATCTTGACGCAGAGGCTTGTCAGAAAGTTGATGAGGAAGGACTTGGATTCTTCATTTCACCTTCCAGTGTAATCCCTATTCTTATCTCTATTTCCTTCTTAGCAAATCGTTTCTAGCCGTGCTCAAATACCACAAGCTATTCTTGTTAAGCTTAGCCTGTATGCTAAGTGTAGGTCTTGAAATGTGCTCTTACTTATTACATGTAGCTATTTGTCTGCATTATCTCATGCAAACAAGAGAACTTTTTTCTTCCGCTTCTTATTGATCCCAGTAGGTGACTTATACTGAAGGAAAAACCACCAGATTTATTAGTCATTGGTCCCCCTTCCTGAGGACTCAGCATCTGAAATAAATTGAATGGGGTTAAGAATGTACTTAGACCCAGACACAATTGTTTGTGTGTCTTGTCTTTACAATAAGAAAAAACCTCTGAAGCAAATTCAAAGTGTCATTAGCGTCATGCTATAAATAAACAAAATGCTACATAGATAAGAGAGTACCACATTTTCAGTTCTGGAAATAGCTTGCAAGCCATTAGGTGCGGGATAAGATATAGAACCACAGATTTAAAAAGGAAAAGTAAAGACAGATTAGTGCTGAGGAGCAGAAGGAAAAAGCAATCTGTGACCATGATGTCCAGATTTTCCATCCCGACATGAATCTATTCCCTCTAGAAACATGATGAGACATCAGCATTATTTGGCAAGATGTGCCTTGTTCTATCTGTCTTTGAAAATCCGTCTCAAGGAATCAGAAGCTGACCATGGCTGATCTGATGGAGTTTCTCCCATGATAGGAGAGCCCCTGTGACAACACTAGGTCCTTTCTTTCTCCCCACAAAATCTTTAGCAGTAGCAAGGTGTCAGGAGATAGGATGGGGAAAGACTAGAGCACCCTGCATTCAGTGTATCACATGGACTGATGTATAATATCTATGGAGCCTGCTATTACAAGGAAAGACTTGCTCCTGCATCTCAGAAATCAGGGAGGTGTAACACACTATTTCTGTGTTTTGCTTTTTTTTTTCTTTCCCCTGCATGCATGGTCAAACCAATTTGCTCTTTTGGGGATGTCTACAACCTAGTAGGTAAGAGAGCAAACACCACCCATAGTGATGGCAACTCATTCCAACCATTTGGTTTGAGTGGAATGGTAGATCTCAGAAAACATGTTTTCCATTCATAAAAATAGAAGAAAAGAAAAAATTAAAAAACACACACACAAAAAAAAAACAACCAAACAAACAAACAAAAACAAAGAAAAACAAAACAAAAAAAAAAAAAGGCAAGCTACTTTAAGTACTTTCCAATGTCATCCTCTGGAGCCTTGAGGGCCGTATGTCACACACCCTTACTTTGTAGGTCTTGCTTTTATAGACTCTGTTTTTCACTCCCAGAGATTTATTGTCCCAGTGAAGAAACAGTCTGGATATGCCTCTGTAGTGGAAATGTAGCCATGTATTTGCTAAGAACAAGCTTGTGGTTTACCAGAATATTTCTGTTTCCTTCTGAGGTTTCCAGCTAATGAAGGGGAATTTATCCAGTACATTTATTGCCATTAAAATAAGAGTTGCAGTCCATAAATAATCCCATTGTTGTTTTAGTTTGCAGTTTAAAACATTTTGTCAGCAGCATTGTCATCCTCTGTGACTCAGCTTGAGTTTTTTCTCACAGTATCAGAGCAGCTTGCTGGTAACGCAGACATACGTTCCAGCTGTTCCTACCAAGGAGGCTTCAAAGTACATTTTGAAAGCATTCCTGACCTTTTCAGCACTGAGCACATCTGATCCTGAGAACAGAGATAAGTTCACAGTTATTCCTTACTTGGCATCTATAAAGATAAAAGCACAGCACCTGGACTGATTTCTGGGTTCATACAAACTCCTGCCAGTGCAGAGCGGCAAGGAAGCTTGTGAGGGGCAGGTGATGTGGCAGCGTAAGGGCTACCACCTCTGTTTTACCCACAGGCATTCAAAATGGCAAGTCAACTTTGAAAAGTTGTCAGCACTGGCCACGGAAGGGAGTCATGATTAGGCTGAACACAGAGTGCAAGTTATTTCTTAGCAACTCCCAGGAACGCTCCTGCCTCGGTCACCCTCCAAAGGAGCCTTCGTAGACAGAATGTGTTGTCATCTTAATGGTGGATCCCCGTGTCAGGAAGAGACTGCAGTGTGTCAAGGTACACTCTGTAATCCCTGCATCCGTATCTTTTAATCTATGTTCTAGAATGCCAACCAGTGCTTTCATATCTGTCAGTCAGTTACCCTTTCCAAAAGGAAGTCCCTTAGCACAAGGAAGAAGTCAGGTCTTCAAAATTAAGGCTGTAAAGAATGAGTATATTGTTTTATTTTAACAGAAATGTCCAGTGAATACAAGAAAAAATATAAAAGTTAGAATTTCTATATAACCTCCTCTTTGCTTAGCAGTATACCACATTTTGAATTAGATTTGATTTAGAAAAGTCTGAAGTAATAGATTTTCATTAGTCCTAAACTCACGAAAACTTTTCGACTTGATTAGTTGAAACGTTTTTTTTTCCCTTGTTGGTGTTTTTTTGGGTTTGTTTTTTTTTTTTTTTTTTTGGATCAGTTAAGACTCCTGCAGATTTTTGAAACCTGTTTTGAAAAATAAAAGGAACCACACAAGTGACAAGTGCTACAGCCTTCATCTCCAAAGTTCCTTTGTCTGCATGACCAGTTAACTGAAAAAAGGATGTTTATAGCAATGTGTTTTGAACAAACTACGTTCAGTGATTTCTCTTCCTTGATGTGATGTCCAGTGGCATAGATCACATGAGAGTGTAAATATATTTTAGGGTCACCAAAGCGTTATCTTGCTGTAAAATGTTCAATAATCCAGAGCCACTTCAGTGGATTATACCAGACTTGGTTGTAAAACTTATGTGCAGCTCAGCCCTTCCAAAACCACTTTTCTAGGTATTTCCCTATGGTGCTCAGCCTGCTGGCTGCCATTCAGCTGGTATTATCAGGAGGACAAATTTGACACTCAGAAGGTAAAGCAGAGAAATAGTCAGGTATTTAGACAGACATATGAGCCAGCTAACAGGAGTGGTTTAAATATTAGTAGCATTTTAATCTTGTTCTCTAAACAAAAGAGGATTTACTTATTCATGGCTCAAGAATTACAAATTAATGTGTGGAACTGGAGTTAGAACTGAGGGCACTGGAGATTCATATGATTCAGTGTATTTATTGTTTTAATTGTTCATATTTCCTTTGCTTTGAGGGATTTGGTCTTTCAGATTAATATGATGGTCACTGCCACATCTGTCTTGGATTCCTTATTCCTCAAGAATAGCCCTAAGCAGAGAGCATTACAGAAGTCTCTCATTAGGAACAAGTAGTTGCAGTCTTTTGTGTAGCTATAGATGATAAAAGGCACTGATTTAGCACTGCTGGCTGAAAGTCCATCCGCACTATTGGACTCATTAGGTCCTATGCAAGAAAACCATTTTCAGGGAGACTTTGAGGACTTCCCTATCTCTCCTGATTAACAGTAAAATCTTTTTTCCACTATGAACCACTTGCAGCAAATCCTTATCAGAAATTGGAAAAATAAGTAAAAATCAAAAGCGTAGATTCAGAGATCAGTATCCTATGGCATGTGACACTGCAATTTTTGAATCCAAAAGTAGTCTTCAGTTTTACCTACAAACTCAAGAGGCTATGAGGCTTACCTATGCCTATCTAAAGAAATAGTCTCCCCTAGTTATGTATACAGTATGCACCAGTACTCAGCCTCCAATGTCTGACCAAGCTATGGATAGAAGTGTGCAGAGCTTCATGAGTTTTACCTGCTGGCCTCTCTCTCTTCCCATACCTTGTAGACTTCAGATATAAAAACTGTCTGGAGCTATCCCACAGTTCCCACTTGTGGTCTTTGGGTCCTTCTGCACCCCTCTTCCTACTTTACCTACATGGAGCAACCTTGCATGGAGAGATCCAGAAGGGCTATTTCCCACAGAACCAGAGAGACTGAAATATATTTTACTTATGGCAAAACAGGACATCATAAAGATAGGCACTGTATGCAACTATATCAGATGTTTCCAAATACAGAAATAAAATAAATAAAATTTAGAATGAAGTTACATTTTGTGTTAATATCAGCTTAGTCATAGCTCAGATATTGCCCCAGAACAAAGATAGTCAGTGTCCAGTTGCACGTCTGAAGACACTGAGAAAAGATAAAACCCAAAGAAGGGGCTCACCTAGTAATTAGGTTTCAGGTGACGCAACAGTTATTCTTTATGTGCGGTATCAGCCACTCAGGACAATAGTTTCAGATCTGTAAAAACAGATTGAAAGAGACTAAGAAAATAATGGAACAAGCTATTCTGTATTTTCTTTTATGATAACATTACTGTTGAAAGAATAAATCATTTGGGGATAGGATGGTGAATGATTATGGCTATGTTCAACAATTGTGCCCTCCCCGAGCAAAGGCTTAAATATTGACTTGCCTCTGGTATGTCAGGAATCTGTTTCATGATGATAATTTACTTCCATAATTATCTGCAATTGATTTGCATAAGAGTCATATTGAGATTATTATATGACATGAAAACTGTCAAACATTGTTAATTTAAACAAGTTTTTAAATCAGTCAAACTTAAACCAACTGTATATTATATAGAATTCCATAAGAAGACAAAAATTCTGTCCTCCTGAGTAAGATTTTTTTTTTTTTTCCAATTGGCTGGCACACAGAACAAGTTCATCTTATATATGCCAATTTATAAATATGTCCAATAATAGTAGAGGGAGCAACTGTTCCACAGCTCTGCCAGTGTTCATCAGACACAGTGACAGTAGCCACATCATTAATCTCATGGTATATTAGAAATAAAGTCACTGGAATGGAATGGTGTCAAAGGATAAATGTTTCCCCCTTTGAAAATAAACTTCTCAGTTTCACCTCATTGTGTTGTCTTTTTTTTTTTTTTTCTTCCCCCTTTCCACCTGCCCTTCTAGAAATCCTTTGGTTTCACCTGGCATTTAGGTAACAGTAGGAGACCAATATCCTATGTCAGAGCTCATTCTACAGTTATCAGTTTAGCATACCCTTAAATCCCCACAATTGCTGTGCCAAGACCAATCCTTTCTCTGAGAGGTTAAACATATGCATTACATATTGAAACAATGTAAGTAGCATGTAATTAGCGCTGTTTATGCATTCTCACTTTAAATTATACTTCAAAACCTATGATGTTTTTCAAGGATCTTAATGCTAGAGAAACTTAAATGAGCATTCATCTTGTCATGTTTAACTTTATTCATAAATAACACTCTAAATATATTTGAATGGTTTATTACATAAGATCTCATGAACTGACACACACATTCTTCCTTTAGTGGATATAGTTCTTAATAAAACATCCTTTAAAATTATGAAACCAATGAACGTGGCAATTAAATTTACAAACAGTGTCATTGACAACTTTAACAAAAGATTTGGGGGGGGGGGGGGGGGGGGGAAGTGTTGGGGGACCTTTTTTCTGTCCTTTTTTAATTCCTCCTCTTTTTTTTTTCCTTTTTAAAAGTCTTGTTCCATAAGGATTATAGCTCCCCCGCTGTTTGGAAAAGATAATTTCACTTGTAACACTAATAACTTGAGCAGGGAGAAGGCTGGCTGGGTGAATGGAATGCACTTCACTGCACATCTTGGCTTCGCTAGAAATCGGAAACAGATGGTCCTTGCGGCTGGCTTCCCACTCGGGCCCGCTCAGTGCCAGCCTGTGGTCGTTGGCTGGTTGCTGCTGGCACTGTGTGACTTGAACATAGTAGGACAGTGGCAAAAGAAATCAAATCTTTTTCATTGAGCAGCAAACTGTAATGAAATTTGACAGATCTGACATTCTATACCCAACATCTAGTTAGAATATATTAACCTTTTAGTTTTCTTGAGCTCCTTTCCTACCAGTTATGAATCTCCTTATTAGGGTTTTACAGCGGCTCTGGAGATGGCAGGAAAGCAATATCTTCTGGATGCCCTCTAATGCTAGAGATGAAATAAATATTTCAAACAGTAAAAGAAATGTGGGGCTTCTAACTCCTCCCAAATTCTTGTACAAAAAAGTTAGCAATAGAAATAATGATTAGATGCTTTTGTTCATCTTTGATACTAGGAAGAAAAAAGAAAATAACAATAAGGTGATATTCCAGCCCCATGTACTCAATAGGAATACTTTCTGTGTATGTCTTGTATCCCCACCTCAGTGGGGTTATGCTGTCTTTGATGCAGCTGCATCAAAAATGAGCTTATGGCTTTATGAATACTTCTATTTTTAATTCTATGAATTTGCACTTACCTAAATGTTTTAGATTGATCCAGGGCAGGAGGCCTTCTTTCCCTCTAAAGGCTTCTCCCAGGTGTGAGCACTATGCTTGATATTAGCTTTTTTCCAGGTTAGTCCCTGTTTAGTCCTTCTCAAGAGGTCAACACGACTGTCACACGGGCCTTGAGCCAGCAAAGCACATGTTCCTAGGGGACAGGTACCTCTCTCGGGTGAAAAGCACGTTGAAATGTTGTGCTGAGTTATGGTCACAGATTAGGAAATAGTTGGTTATATTTAGACTCAAAAATAAATCTGGTTTATGTTCCTTTACATTTGGGCTTGATAGAGAAGGATTTTTACTTATTTTTTAAAAATGTTTGTATGTGTCATTCCTTCCCCTTCCCTCCTTTCATCTGTTCCTCCTGTTTCTTTCAGACATGAAGTCACAGCACTGTCTGTGATGTCAGTGTGTTTCCATATTGACAGATCGTTCTGTCAGAAACAAGATCTTGATGCTTGTTTCAGATGAGGCAAAAGGGGAATACAGATGGCAGGAAGAAAATCAGAGGAATGCGAGAGGAGTGGGGAGAAATACACACAACAGAGCTACGGGGGGAAAAGCAGAGCCCAAAACCAACTTTTCTGCGAAGGGGAAAGGACTCCTTTCCCGGGGTTCAGCAAGATCATCCAAAATGTGTGTGTCATCTTGAGTATCCAGTAGAGGCTTTACTGTTGCACTCGTTCTGGCTCGGGAGTCCTTGAAGGTGCAGAAGCAGTGGTCACATGGTGCTTCTCTCCTTGTTTACGCCTTCAGCAACAGCAGATCATCTTGATTGAAGCCAGGATTATAGGATTTCCAAAAGCTAGAACACACACTCGTTGTCAGCAACTTTGCATAAGTTCAGAGGCTGTCCAAAATTCAACTGCCTGCTCTCATGTGGCACTTGAACTAATTGTCACTGTTTGAGATAAGGAAATCCTCTTCATAACTCATCTAAGTTCAGGCTTCCCAAGGAAAACACCTCCCAAATTAGGAACAGATCTAAAATCACACTGTTGCAATCAGCTGAAAAGGTTCTGAGTAATTGCAACTGAAGAAAGAGGGAGAGGCAAAGGGAATAAAGAAAGGGTTAATGAGCAGTGGATACCATGCGATTAATAGATAATCTAGGAAAGGGCACTAAGATCCTAAAGATGTGTCTAGCACTGGGAGCTGCACACAGTTCTGCCACGTTTCTTTTACCGACGTGAATAGTAGAAGCCAACATTTGGAGAAACCACCCGCTATGCCAACATTTCTAATGCTCTCATGCATTCAGTTTCCAGTAGACTGTAAAATGCCAGCTTGATATAGTCATCTGAATTAATATACTTTATTAGCCTTTTTTAACATTCATTCCTAGTTTCGTACACTTGATAGCAACAACTACCTCATCCCAAAATGCTGCCGAGGGGAGATAGGGGGGCACGCTCGTGCTCTTTGTGCTGCAGCAGGTAACTCTGCTCAACAATTAAGCAAATTATTTGTGGTAGTTGGCCACTTCTCCAGTAGGAAGTCAGAAAGCAACTGGCAAGTGCTTCACTTCATTGCTTGAGGCCTAAAGCTGTCGGAAAACAAATCTCTTCTCCTGTAGCCCACAAACACATACACCTAACTTATTTCCAACTTGACATATCACTCATACATTGCAAGCATTTTTATTTTGCAGCTGTGTCTGCACAAATGTCTACACCACACGAAGGCTTTTTCTTTCTTCCGAACAGATCTGATTTAGAAGCAAACATCTTTGTGGCTTATTAGTCTTTGGAAGGCATCGTTTTGTCCTAGTACTATTCACAGGGAGTGTTGTGCAGAATGCTGATTGACAAGAGTTAAATTCAAAACATGTAGCCATTTTCTGGTGTGTGGTTTTTTTCCTGATTGAAGGAAAACTACTTAGATGTTTGTTTCCAAAACGGCATCTGTCAGCAATCAAAGGGGAAAAATTGCATAAAACAAATGCAATTGTTTGGAGTAGCATTTCCTGGATCATGTTAAATGCTTGATTTGCTCCCCATTATGCTCACCAAATAATTTTATTTTCCACAATAATTGCAATATTTAACATGTTGTATTTAATCTTGTTTTAATGCTATTAACAACAGCCGCTTATGAAAGGAATAATTGCTCTACGGGTAAGAACCCACCATCCCCAGCATCAGAAAGAACAATGACAAAGTTAACTGCACCTAATTGTTCTGAATTTAAAATGTCGTTAACCAAGAGCACTCCTCATTTCTTTGCACATAACTACTCTACTGCCAGGAAGGAAATGGTTTCATGCTTCTGTCATTCATAAGCTGAAAAGTGTATGCTCTTCTAAAAAAAATATTTATTTGGTGTGTTTATAATTAATATTGGGAAGTAAAGTCATATATCGGTCTAGGAAGACCCAAGTACTCTCGAAGCAGTGGTTAATACAGCAGTCGAGAAAGTTTGTCAGTAGAGCTATAACTACATCAGGTGATGAAAAACCATATAGACCAAATAGAGAGTTATCAGAACTTGACTGGAATGATGTGCGTCACAACCGGGTATGAAATACTAAATAAATAATAATCAGGGTGGGTAAGTTGTTTGGTTTGAGAGATGGGAGCAGAGAGAGCAGCATAAAACTGAATCTGACACCTATTCAAAGGCTGATTGTTACTTAAGCATTTTACTTTGTATTTTGTGTGATTATTTGGAGGGAGCTTTTATTTTTTAATAAGCAGCAAGCCCCAGAAAGGACAGGTAATATTAACGAACCTGAAGTAAGAGAAGACGATAAATGCTTTGGCCAGCCAGTGCAAGGACAGTTCCTGGCACAGTGTCCATTTTTTTTTCCTGGACTCGGACTAAAACTTAACACTTCCCATGCTAGTCCGACCCTTTCCCGTAAATTATAGTTGGATTGTACCTGCTCTCTGGAGCAAAAAAGCAAACTGGGATGGGAAGTGATTGCATAGATCATTCACTAATGTATTTTTTTGTGCGGTCCAAACAGATTGTTAAGTCTGGGGCAAAAACAGAGACAAACCCCTGCATGTTACATTAGCAGTTTGTGTTTACCCTAAATCATTTGCTTATCATCTCACACATCACAGAAATGTGAAGGTATTATTGAAGCCTAATGAAAGTTAGTTCTGTCCTGTACTGAATGACAGTTTTGTAATCTATGCAGCCGGGAATTATAATTTTGCTGCAGCCAAGCAGTTAAACAATAGTTAGTACACAAAACAGTCAAATGAAGAATTGTGTGCCCACGAGCTCCCCTTTTTGATACAAACAGAAATGGATATTGTTTAAAATAGAGTGGATATTTTTAATACATTTTCCTCTTGTGTTCAAATCGCAAAAGGATTTGCAGAGTGTAGCTGTTTCTGAGCAAAGAAGTTATATCAGTCATAGCTCAACAGAGCTAAGAAAATTTCCTGGCGAGAGTCCGCTTGCCAGTTCAGAAGTTCATTTTTTCGAGCACTTGAGGAAAGACACTACTGTATAGGTTGAAGTGCCCTGTTATTAAGTGGTGGTGGTCATAGCCGAGCAACCGTCTCTCCGTGTGATACGACAGGGTGATTTAAATGGAAAGCATTCACTGCCTGTTTAATAGTCAGCTGTCATAAAAGTAATACTTTTGTTGGTTTTACGGTGCACCAGAAGAAGTGGGAAACAGAGATGGGAAAATGTATGATTATCTTTTACTTTGTGGCCCAGGAAAGGATTTTAATATTGAACAATAGCAGGATTTCACAACTTTTCATAACTGTTTTGGAGCTGTCTTTTTCCAAGTTATCTGTCAATTCCTCATGTAAATTTTGAATGTCGCAGAGAAGTTTTGCAGGAGAGAAAAACAAACCTCTGAGGCTTTGGTGGTTATAACATGATGGTATTAGAAATTGTAACATTAAAAACCAGTTGTTAAAAATATGGTATCAAAACTATATTAAAAAAAAAAAAAGATAAGAAGGGAATTGTTCAGTTCTTAGGGAGCTCTTTAGCCATCTGAACCTTCATATGAAAAGTCATTCATTTAAACAGTAAGATCTGGTATCTAAAATCAAGAAGGAGCAAAGAGCCAAAACTTTAACATGTCAAAAAAATGAAAGAGCATTTGATTCCTTCAGAAAGCTTCTGTCACTGAATTGGGAAATAAACTTGAGCAGTTTATAATTTTGTTTTGCCTTTCACTGCTATAATGATTATATGCACAATTATGAAAGAAAGAAAGAAAAAAGATGTAATATTTTTCTTTTTTTGCTCAGTCTTTTTTTTTGCCCCCCCCCAGTCACGTACATGAGAAAAGTAGCTGCGATAAACAGATACTGAATCAGACTGAAAGTCTCTTTTTTTTTTTTAAAAAAAAAAAAAAAAAAAAAAAAAAAAAAAAAAAAACACCCAAAACATTGCATGATAGTCTCTAAGCAGTTCCATCTGTCAAGCAGAAATTTTAGGCTAATAGCCTGTGGCGATCTCCCTCCGCAGTCCAGTACCTGCCTTTGTCCTATTAAATCTCTTTATTCTTCTTAAAAAGAAAAAAGAGGAAAGGAAAGAAAAACCTTGCAGACCAAAATCATCTGAGTGATGAAGCTCTAATTTTGACTGCCTCTCTTTGATGTTGAGCAGTGGGTTCTTATTTAAAAAAAAAAAAAAAAAAAAAAAAAAAAAAAAAGAGTGAGTGAGAGGGGGAGAGAGAGGGAGAGAGAGAGAGAGAGGAGAAGACAGTGCTAGGAGCAGATGACTTTTCATCTCCACTTCACCTTGCCACTGGGTCTGTGAGAGATTGGTTCATTGTCAAGGAGATTTTTTTTTTTTACCCATGATTCCATATGGTATGGACCGGGCTACATGTTGCCCAACATGCCAGTGCAAATGTTTTCTCAATTAGGTGTCTTATCTCCCGTGAGTTAGCATCAGATGAAGCTTGCTGACAGCATAATGGCAGGGAAAACCTCCGACGGCTCCATCAAATGGCAGCTCTGCTACGACATCTCGGCCAGAACTTGGTGGATGGTGAGTTGGCAGCAGGGCTGCTTTTTTTTTTTCTCCCTTTTCTACTTTCCCTCCCTCTTTGACAAAATGTCCCAGACCTCACATTTATCAAATTAACATTTGATTTTTTTCACACTCTTCAGTAGAGCAGCCTCACACTTGTCCCACTTGTGCGCTTTCCCCTGTGTAATAGGAGACCGTTAATGTGCACTACAGTTTCCAGGGGGAAGCTTTTTCAATTCTGCTTAAGGGAAGGGAAAAAAAAAAAAAAAAAAAAAAAAAGTATGCAAAGAAGTAGTTTGAAAAAGCCTTGTGCAGAGTAACTTGTCTCAGTCGGCTGCCTAACGCTCAGTTTGTTTTACTTTATCTGCTGCTTTAAAGTGTCCGTGTGCATGTGCATTTTTACCATGCAATATTTTGTAAAGAGGGGAGGTGGAAAGTTCAGTCCGCTACAAAGCAACTTGATTACTGTAAAAGCCTGGAACGGTGCGGTAGTGTCGTGGTGTAAAATCATCACGTGTGAGAGGAGCGTGTTTTGCGAGGTGCTGCCTTTCATCGGAGACCCCGATCTAACTTTTCCCTCCGCTTGTTTACGTTAGAACAGGTTACCGGGCTGCGCTGACCTGGAGCCATGTGTTACAGATCCCACATAGTCAGGCTCTAGCTGCTTTGGGGCGCAATTAAAGTTTCAATAAAGTCCCAACGTGCTCCGTAGAACGAGTTAACTAGCATGTCATGGTCAGCCGGGCCAGACAACCTTTGACATCTTGAATCTATAAGAGGTATAGTGAGTTAGGAGGATGCACAATAGCTCATTGTGGCAGAAGATGCAAGTCCTGTTGTGAGGAAGAGAGTCCTCAAATCATTACTGCCCTCGTTAGCGTGTTGTCCGTTAGGGATTAATTCGTTAGCAGCGCATTTTTAGTTTTCTGTAATTATTATTCTTGTGGCAAGCGTGAATTCTTCCAGTGAGAGGAAAAGTTTGCTGCCAGGACAATGAATGTATTATCCGCTCCTAACTGGACCGTGAACCTCAGCTCATTTCACATAGATATCAGTTAAAAAAGGACTGGCGAGTGGAATTACAAAACAAGGCATGATCACTTTCATTGTATGATACGCTGAAACAAGTCGGGGGCTTTCCCTCCCCCTCGCCGCCCCGGACCAATTTTGGTATCATTTGGAAAGTTTAAGACCTCTGAGGACTTGAAAGACTTTTAAAAGTGAGATCCGGAAGGTTTTTATTCTGCAGCTTGGTGGTGGCCATTGTGTATATCATGTGGCTTGTATTTAAAGGTGTTTGGGCTCGGGGTTTTCCGTTTTGTTTTGTCTAAACTCTTAATTTTTTAACCGTCTATTAGAGGTTTGCCAGTGGTTGCCAGTGAAATGTAACATGCAGATTTTGGTTAATGGGAATAGGGAAGGCTAACCACTTTACTTATAGTACTGATTTTCCAATTAGACTTTCTGCCAGGGGAAGTTGGAGGGGGAAGGGGTATTTGCATGCACATAAACTGTTGATTATTCATGTGACTTTTTTTTAGCTTGTTAAACCCCTGTAAATAAGGCTATTGATTCTTAGTTATCATTTTCAAAGCGAAGTTTTCAAGTACCTGTTTTAACCACACGAATTATATAATGCTGTGATTTTGCCTTATTCTAAACCATTTGTATATTTTATTACTACTCTTCTTTTATTGTCTATCGGCTGCTTTTATGATGAGGTACGTCCATGTTTACTATTTAATAAGTATCCTCGAATGTTATTAGGCAGTTATTATCACCCTATAGAAAGTGTCCAAGGAAGTTTCATTTCAGTCACATTTATTTCACAGATGTTTTAGTACTGTGAATATAATATGTAAAAATGCTGGAAACATTTAGTAATGCACTTGCCTAAAAATAAACAGTTTTATAACCACACATGCTGTTGTTTAGATTAAACATTGCAGAAAGTTCTCCTTAAACTTGAACGTCACACCATTTATTTTCTAAGAGAACAAAAAAAAACTCACTAAAATAGCCTTTTTTTGTAGAAGTTGTGCTAGATGAAAGAGATGTTATTTTTAACTGAAATGAATAATTCAAGATCTTTACAATAGATGTGTTAATTGCAAATAATTTTCGTACAAAGTTTCAATTATTGATGGAGTAATAAGCAGTTTTTCATACAGTCTGTGAATCTAAAACGTACAACAAAAAGTAGATATCTGTTATTTTTTTTTACCCCCAAACCTCATCACATTTGCCACATTCTTGTAATCAAAAGTAAGCTAGAGAGCAGATTTTAATGTTTTAAAGACAAATAAAGCTTTTAAAATTACCTCATGCATCGTCTGGCTGCACAAAATCTCAGCTGCACAGTGCTAAACTTCGGTTTGGTACTGCCAGCATACAAAGAGATGAGTGAATACCCCTTGCACCCATATGGACTCAGCTGCCAGCACTGTGATATGCAATTTTGCTTTTTAATGAATCGTAAACAATTTGTGTGTCAAACGAGGGAGTTTGTTTTCTTTCTGGAGCAGGTTCTAAATCCATTTTAAGCTATAGCTGTGTACTGTACTGGAGTATTATGCCCAAATTTAAAGGTTCTGTGTCATTTTGATGAAAAGACCTGTTATAATGAAAGAAACGGCTTTATAAAAGGCTGGGTGTAGTAATCTCTCTCTCTTTCTTTCTTTCTTTCTTTCTCTCTCTCTCTCTGTCTCTCAACCTCACACTCTCCCTCTTTCACTCCAGTCTATAGCATGTTTATAGCTAGCTAGCTGGAGATAATGGAGATTGGTTGATTGCATGATTAGTAAAATGAATGGATTTTAGCATTGGGCAAAGCAGCTTGCATTTTTGAAAGGTGGCTTTAAAATGCAGAGTTCTAATTTTGACCTTATTTTCTTTCATAGATAATCTTTATTAATGCTCCTTTAATTCGTTTTTCCTCATTGCAACTAGTTTTTCTCTCCAGCCATCTGATGGAATGGCTAATATATTTTATCTTACTTGCCAAAATAACAAGAGGTCAACATAAAAGAAGAACGTTATTTTTCTTTCTTATAGACAGTTATAAATGTTTCAAACTATTTCGGTAGAACCCACGGGACTTGTACTTTCTAGCACTAATTGCATTTGTCACCACAGGTTTAAGGCAATCTTTTGACACCTTATCTATTTTTTCTTGTGCTTTAATCAAGTAAATGCTGAAACAGTTATTATTTTGGCTACATTGTAATGTGATATTTTAGCAGAAAATTTTCCCCAAAATGCTGTAAATTTGTATAAGAAGGAATTATATATTTTTTTAGTATAGTTGTAACAGCAAATATTTTAACGGTATAGCAGTCTGAAGATATGAGATGAATTAGTTTGTTGGAAAAATTATCATTATTTTGTAATCATTCGCACTTTTTATTTGAATTTGGTGCTGTCAGAGACACTAAAGGGTTAGTCATAGAAAAGTTTCAGTACTCTGTCTTGCATTTGTTACAAATATGTGCAGCTGTGCTACTTTTATAAACATTTATTTCAAGCTGATTATTTTTTTTTTAAATTATTTGCTCTAGCAAGCCAATATGATGTGACCATTATATATGTTTAATAAGGGATTGTCTGCAAAATTCCTTTGCACGGGGTTATTGAAATACATGTGCAGCAGAATTATATACTAGAGGAAAATTCTCAATGACAGCACAAAACTAAAGACCCTGGGCCAAATTCTGCTCAAGGTTTACACTGCCATCAACCTGGAGACGCTGCAATAAGAGGAGTGGAGCGGCTCCAGGTTCATTTACCTGACTGAGAGCCAACTTTGACCCATAATTTGCGTTGTCTCAGTCTGAACAGTTTAAAAACCCAAACCATTCTCCTTTGTGAAATATCTGAAGAAAATGCCTCATTAATAAATAAGAAGCCATTTCAAATGACTCCATGTATGAGTTAGCATGCAAACTACTGTTGTCGAATACGACAGTTAAAGCAGATCTTCCAGTCATTTTCTGAAATAATTGTTTTCTAGTTTTATTATCCAGCTATCGATCCATATTCCAGTGTATATGCCTTTATTTTCTTTAGATGCCGTAAGTTAAAAGAGCTTTTATTAAAGATAGTAGGACTAGACTTGACATGGTTATTTTGTTACTTTAAAGGTTTTTAACTCAACATCATCTTTTCAGTGAAGCTCTTGGTAAATATTTGTCTTTCACACCTCTGTGCTCTGTTTTTTCAGAGGAATAGCTGACATTACTCAGGTAATTTATGCAATTAAAAAAAAAAAAAAAAAAAAGGGAAAATTTCAAAATGTTACTAAGATTTCCATCAATTAAGAATATATTGCTATAAATCTAATTGCAAATGAGACTAAAAATAAGGGTGCATCTAATAAATATTTAATTTCATCATATGGAAAGCTAATTGTTACTACCAAAACTAAAAATGTCCAAAGCACGAAACACTCAAAAGTAGTATTCCTAGTTTAAATCACTGAGAGTATCTATACATACATGCATATACATACTCACATCTAAGTTTATCATGGTAATCCCCACATGCTGTTGAACCATGGCTTTGCTGATTTGTGCTTCCTACTTATAATTTACTGCATATCAAAAAGCATACATGTATGAATAATTATCCTGCTCCTACCTTTATAAAAATAACTGTGTGAACAGAGTGTAAGATTGCAGCATGGAATTTCTTTGTTTTATACAGTAACTCTCAAATGCTCATACACTGCTCAAATGCTGTATAAATTTTTTTAATAAAATTATTCCTTCTCTGTCAGATTTACTAAATTCCATATATAACTTCAACACGAGTATTCAGTGCATCGCTATACATGCTTTATAGTATCTTCGTTTTCTGTACATGGCCTCCTTTTGCCTACAAGTATTTGCCCTAGTTGTTTTCTACTCTTTTTCCTTCACCTGTCCTGAATATTGCCATGAATGTTTCTAATTTAGAGTCAGAGGAGTCAGTGGCTGATTAGAAGACAGGAAATTGGAGGATTAAACTGTCTGGTTGAACTTCCTTTACTTATCAGTACTGTGTAACTTACACTGGATTATAAACTCATTGGGACAATTTCTACAATATATCAGTACTTCTGTTTTCTTAGTCTTTCTTTTTCTGGAGAAAATATGGAAAACAAGGAAAATGGGTAGTTTGCGGCTAAAAACCAATACTTTTTAATAACACCAAAGCACTGCAAGCTTAAATTAAATTTGTATAAATGTCTTCAGGTATGATAACCCATTCACTATTAAATCATGCGGATCTATAATATATATTTTAAATTAACTTCAGTATGTAAACAACCAAGCAACAGATACTTTCAGGGAGGGGGGAGGGAAATGACATCATTTTAGTAAGAGGAGAATGCGCCATGTTAACCCTTGTTCAACCCTCTTCCCCTCAGAAACTTTCACATTTGTTGTAACATGATGGCAGAGCTCTAGGACACCCTGAGGAAGGGCTAGAGACAAAAGCCAGTTTATCCCAAAAGCTTCGTCTGGACTCCCCGTGCTACCCTCTGAGCCAGGAGCCAGAGATCTGACGTCCTTGCCCGGCGTTTACAGGGGGAGAAGGACATTGTGTCGATAGCTGTCTGACCAGGAGGAAAATGAAGAGCACAGCTTTGTGCCTTCAAGGGCCAGCTCATGCTTGCCATCAATGATCATGTATTACCTCCCGAGCTCGTCATGGCCCCTAGTTATGAAATCATTGTGATAGCTGAGAAAAGCACAGTACTAGTACGATCAGGAGGACCTATCTTGTGAAGGATAAACAGGGGGACTTCTAACCTCAGTCCATGCTATACCTAAGGTATCTCTGCGCCACCGCTGACCATTCATCATCATTTAATTTTACACACTGGATTGTGATCTGAAGGTGGCAAAACTGTATTGCATAGCAGACCAAGCAAGAAAACAAAAAAAGATAGACACTGCCTGAAAGGTCTAACACCTTGATCTGAATCTAAAGGCTGTGAGACTAATCATATACTCCAGTTTAAACACCAGGACTGGTTCTTTAAATTGATCAGGATGCTTGTGATAATTTCTGGCAGTCTGATCCCGCTACGTTAGGCAAGCCCTTCACTAATTCTGGGAGTAATCGAAAATGGAGGTGAAAATAAAAGAATATTTTGAAACTTTTTGCTGGCAAAGTCCCAGTAGTTTCCATACAAACAAAAAAATGACCTGAAACTTTTTCTAAGTGAGGAAGTAAACATTGGCTTTCCCTACCTTCATATGAAAGAAAAACAGTAACGGTTTTGGTTTATCGAAAGGTTTCCCGTCTTTTAATCCCAGTGTGAAAAGAATCTCACTGTGCTGCTAGAAGCATGCTTCACTCCTCTCCCTCAGATGTGGCCACTGACACTGATTTATATTTGGAGATGATTATAGGATGAATCAAGTTCTTTCTTTGTTGGTTTTTGAAGACAAATATGCTAGCTCATAATAGCATGTTTTCTATTGAGAATATCTTTGTTATTTCCATTAGTGTCACTAGGAACTTCTCTTTCACAAGTACTGCAGGTACTAATTACAGAACTCATCACAAATGCTAGAGCTCTTTGTACAGGTACATGCACACACTTTACATCAGCAATACACTTATACTTTATCCACCTGAAAAAAGCAGAGGCCCTGCCACACTCCCAAAATATCCAACTGATCTCAGGGCAGCCAGAGCTGGTCTGATCGAGGTACCTTCGGAGAGACGTTGTACCAGCCTGCAATAGCTCTTTTGCTCAAAGGCTTTGGGACTTATATGCACTGTGACAAAGATCTCTGGATCTATTTTCCATAGAGCAGATCACTGAAGAGTAGTTCTCAATAAGATAAAAATTATTAGAACAGATTAAATAGATGTGTTGGCTAATGGAGTGAGATTCAAAATATTTTGCTTCTATAAGCATGTCTGTTGTTCTTTGGTGGTTTTTTTTTTTTCAGAGGCTGTGAAACGCAAAGTTAGCAATACAACTAGATATGGGTGGAAGTGTTGGATAGTACAGATGGCACTATAAGCTTGTAGACTTTTACTACCAATAATTGCAATGCCCTTGCTTTCAAAGGAGTGCAGGTTGCCCTTGATGTACACAAACAACCATATTAATTTCACAACCCAATTGGAATCGCACACACGGATTGAGGTTGTCAATAGGAACAGTGTGGAAATTAAGAGCACAAATAGCGCTCTCAAATAGGCCTTTCTGCTTTAAACGTGACTAACTCAAAAGACACTGCATGTACATGGTCACTAACAGAGCACTTCCATAAAGGAGAGAGTTTGTGAGTAAATTATAGGGGAGATTTTCCTTTTTTCTTTTTTTTAAATCCAGAACCCAATTATGCTGGAGAAAATGGACGATTCTGCATGGAAATATGCTGATATTCATAAGTAGTCATCTTTACTCTAGTAAAGAAAATTTATAACGGAAAGTAGAGCATGGCTTACTGGTTCACATCAAGGAAATATAAAGAATATTCCAGAGGGACCCAGATTAACCTTTCATCTTCAATAAGAAAGGAGAAAAACTGTCCTATTTGATTGTTCATTCAGTCAGCATTTATGTTTGCTCTTGGGAACAAATACAAACAACATGCTTGTACACTTCTCTGCCAGTATTTTTTTTTACTAGACATTCTCTTTTATGATGTTCTTTGAAAGAATAGCTTAGGAAGAATAGGTTAAACATGAATTATTTAGGGCAGTGACTGAAAGGTGAATCACCAAATTTTTTACAAGAGTGAAAACAGAGGAAGTTTTCGAGGATTATAAGCAAACACAAGTAAAACTCAAATTTATTCATGATCTGCTGCTAATGAGGACTTACAATTTAGACGGGACTTGTTGCTTCCTCTCCTTTTATCTTGATTTCCTAAGCAAATGAGGCTTAAAGGATCACTTGTCTGTCTGTCATGCACAGTGGAGGAAACTGTAGCATAAGACATTATTTATCACACCTAAGGAATTCCCTCATGTTCAAAAATCAAT